CCATCTTTTGAAAGACAGTTTTAGCTTATATTTGACATGAAATTTGTCTTTTGTAAACTATCTGCCTCCACCAGTTGAATGAAGATTTCTCGGGAATCTGTAGCGGAATTTAACCCAGCAAAACCAATATTCTTACAGAAGTGTCAACAGCCCCTTTATGGCCGCAGAGTCCAAGGCAGTATATTGTCACATCCTTTGTGGTGACCTCAAGCAGCTCATGCCCCTTCTTGCAATTCTGCAGTACAGAGGTCATGGTGGGATCAAGACCTTAACCTGAAAGGAGTAAGTAAAGGAAGACCCAGAGGTTCTGCATTTGACTGGTAACAGTACTAGGAATCGCCTTAGTATTCACTGCAGCTAATCTGTTCCTTACCAGATGGAAGGGTACATCCACCCCCCAGATCACAGTCACATAGCGCCATAGGTAGTGATTCAGGAGTGACTCTCTCTTGATTTCCAGGCAGTAGTTTTCTCTGTCAGCTCAATAAAATGTGATTTGTTGCAGAGAGAATCTATCCAAGTCATTTGGAAAGGCAACGGCCTTTGTTACAAAGGGGCACAAAAATATAATGCCAGAAAAAAGGAAGGCAAAGAAGAAACCTCTAGGGCATTGTGCTTAGCCCTGTCTTTTGCTGTCTAGCTTCTTTATTTTAGTTTTAATCTGGAGAGAGAAGTTAGAAAAATAGAAAAAAGGGGGAAAGTAGCTGAATGCAGCTTAATAATGAAAGAAACTGCTGAAATAGCATCAGAAAGCTCTTTAAAATGCAAAACTTCTTGCTGATCAGCTACGCAGGGTAGAAGAAAAACAATCACTTAAAGGCGGTGGCTAAGCAGGCTTTCCCTTCATCATCTCTCACTTCTTCTGATGCCAAAGATAAAAAGCACTTTCAGAGGGAAGATGTTTTCATAGTAAAAGCATAAATACTACAGGAGATGAGAAACAGATCACTGTTCACAGAGTCTCCAGCTTCTATTAGAAACTTGCTTAGCCTGCTGTGGGCAGGGCTGACAGACGAGAGCCGGTCATTGTACTGGCCAGTGACCTTCCAGAAGCATTGCAAAACTCTGGAGGAAAAGAGAGAGGTACTTTTATCTATCAAACGTGCTTAAACATATACCTTTTTAATTAAAGAGAATTTGAGTTCTAATATGATCCAGTTTAATTTATTACTCTTTCTAATCTGCCTTCTATCCTTCCTCCGTGATTCCATGCGACGGTGTTTTAAGTTGTCCCTACCAGTCCTGTGATTCCATCTCTTTTAACCCCATATGAGAACAGATCAAAATAGTTTTGCCAAGTCTGCGTTGAATAACTCCAAAAACTGTTGACTGTGATGTTATTTCCATCTGAGCTAAGAGGGTCTGGGGTTGTACCACATCATCCCTACCCTTTTTTTGTGAGGGACCTCTGCTTAGCAAATCGGACCTTACATGTGGCTTGCTGATGTTCTAAATTGTAGCAGAATCAGTATATCTGGATTTGTTCTCCGAGGCCGAGAAATCCTTTTTATTTGTTTTTTATGGGACACTGTGAGACCAGGGCAAGGGAAGCACTTGCTGTCATCCTGCTAGCCTGCTATAGCTAAGCTTAGCTGAGATGTGTTGCTTACAGAAGCTGTAGACTATGGAATAGCTTTAATTGAACATTTCTTGAGAAGGAGTATCCTTAATCCTGTACGTACGGAGAGCACACACACATTGTGAATTAGACACTGAGATACTTTCTCCCTTTCATCCCCTGTATAGCACTAGTTGGAAAGTCTGTTGCCTTTCTTTGTCAGAAGCCATCAATGTTCCTTCAAGAATGGATACCTGAAAGCACAATAGTTAGAATGCACACAGTAATACAATAGAATATAAGCTTTGCTGCTCCTGTACATTCTGTGTGCTGCCTCTTTATCAGAAATACAGGAACAGAAGAAAGAGCATGTGTAAGGACATCAGCAATGCTTGTACTTGGTGAAAAGAGTAATGTTTTTCTCAATGCATCTCATAAAGACTTGCCACTATAGCTGATGCATGTCCAGTAATAAATATTAACCTGTAGCAATTTTAAAGGCTGCGTGGTAGCTACAGCAGCCACCTCCTTAGGATGCTGTATGTATTTGTTTAGCCATTTGTTTGTCACATACTCATGAAGGCATATAGCAGCTTTACAAATACAGATGGAGATTGGATCTCAGCCCAGAACCATTTAGGAATTGCAGTTTTGCTACTATTGTTATTGTGTTTTTTTCCCTGACAGTCGCATTTGTTCTGTTAATGACAACATTGGGCTTTAGATAATATTAAATCATATATCCAGACCAGACCTGGTCAGTCTGAAGCTGAGTATGTTATCAGAAATCTTTTATCAGCATGTGTATGTGGTTTACTATGTGCATAAATAAGCAACTTGTACAACTAACTCGGAAAGTTCATTCATTTGTCTTTGGGATAAACTCCATAGAAATGAATGGGATGGAACCAGTTTCAGGATGGCAACGGCTACTGCTCCAAGCAGAATTAATTTAGATCTTATTGACAAGCCTCCCAAAAGCTTCTGCTCGAAGGAAGATAGGGCTAAAGAACAAAGAGCCATATCTGAAGCTGCTTTGTTCCAGACATAGGGTCTTCTCCCCCAGGCACACTCACTACTTCCCATTTGGCTCTAGAAGTTCTTCTGTGCTCCAAGTGCAGTGCATTTCTCTGACTGTTGCTCACCAAGGCTCCCTGGGTTGTGTTGTTTATGCCAGTGGGGGAAAATGGACAGAAAGAGTCGAATTGACTTTTCTAAGGTTACAGAGGAAGACAGAAATTAGAGTCTGTGTCAGCCGGGACTTCCTTGTACCCTGAACTTCATTGAGGATGTTGTGCCATAGGTAACGTTCATACATGGTATGTTATTTAGATGTGAATTCCTTTTAACTTCAGCCATCTAAGAATTAGGTATCTGGTCTAAGATACTTTGCAGGGTCTTCGTCTCTGGTGGAGAGGCACAGGCAGCTTCAGTGAGAGGGGTGGTAAGACTGCCAAGCATCGAGAGAGGAAAGTCACCCACTGGCCATTCCTGTTCCCATGCAACTGAGACAGCAGCGAGACAATGGGCTTGCATTAGACATCAGCAGCTCAAATACAGGAGCTGAATGCCCCCAGTCCGTCCTAGCAGCCGTATACGGCTCGAGGCAGAAATGCCTCTGTGGTCAGGAAGTCAAGGCTGTAACTCCTGCCACGTAGCCCTTGCTTGCCCGTGCAGTTGGAGTTGTTTTCATGAGAAACATTTGCACGATGTTTCGTCTCCCAGGGTGAAGCTGACTCAATGACATCACAGAAAGAAAGAGCAGCCTATCTAGGAAAGAGTTCTGAATTACTGCATGGTATTATGTATTATATCATGCACCTCTGCTGCATAGTACTTTTAGATTAGATCAAATAGTCGTTCTGAAACAGCCTAGTGTGAACTAAACCCCTTTCTGTACTGCCGTTCAAGTTAATACATGTAAAAATAGGGCATGCCATTCATCGTGATAAAGTGAAGACATTTCTGCCACCTTTGGACTTTTAAACCCCTCTTAGATGGTCTGACGGAGAAGCCTAAACAGACAGATGGGTCAGGTATTGTAATACGTGGTATTGTTTTCAGTCAACAGAGCCCAGTTACAGCATAACCCTCTTAGGGAATGAGTCATAGGAATGTTTGTATTATGCTCTCTGAAGTTTCATTTTGCAGTCTCACCATCAAATATTTTAGCAGAATGTGAGCAGTGCCTAAACCTGACAGAGGATACAAACGGGATGCATATGTCAAACTGGGAACAGTTTAGCTCCTGTATCTGTGGTCACAGAGGACATCCATCTGTTTGATTAGCCTGGGGACATAAGCATTTCCAGCTGATAATCTTCATTTGAATAAAATGATATTGGGAATGGGAGTGGGGATAAAAGGGAACAGATGATAATATAAATATCTGTTCAGGTGGGGAGACGCATTGCCACCACTAATGATCCTCATTATGGGTGATGAAATAGAATTCTGACGGGATGGGAGCAAGAGCAGGAGTTGAAGAGATCTGCTGGGGTTACTGTTAATTTCTGCAGACATACCAGCTCATTTAGTAACGCAACAGCTCCCATTGCTAGCCACTTAATGTATGATTAATGTGCCACAGGATTTCCCCAGACATTTATGATACCTTTAGGAATAGATATGACAATGACTTTATCACATGGAGTCACTTCATACTATCTGCATCCCTCTTAATGATTTATATATTCAGGAGTGATTTTATCACTAGTACTCAGTAACGTAATAAATGAGAAAACTCAATGGTCTGTAAATTACAACATTGATTAAAGAAGTGATTACTGATATAACTCTTACATGGCTATGATAATGCTTGCTTATATTTCAGGACAGCATTTACATGTTAATGATAAATCTGCTGCAGTGTTTAGAAATACTTTACAGCTTTAATCAAAATGTAAACACTTATAAACAGATAATGTTTATTGTGGAGGAAATAAGTAGACTTCTGTTACTCTTCAGTGGATAAAATCCACTCCAGAGCCAGCTTTGTCTTGAAGGCTGAAAGCAGTGTCACCCCTGATGAAGGTACTCATCAAGGTAGAGCTTTGATTTGCTGCTTGCCCCCATTGAGACCTGTTTTGGTTTGTTGGGTTCCTCTTAAAGCCGTGAAGGAGCCTTGCTCATTATAAATTCCACAGCACTGTGATCGGCTAGTGGCTCACTGCATAACAAACCGAAAATCAACCACCAGCTTCATAAATAGTATCCAGTCTTTAGGCATCTCCCGCATAATTATGCCTCTTGAGCCAAGGAAGGATTTTTGTGTTCAGCTGCTCCCATGGTAAAAGGCCATCATTAACATGCATAAAGAAAAGGGAGCTTTTTTTGTTTGTTTTTGGTTTTGAGATGCCAGGGGTACACTTTGAGCTTGTTTTGTTGCAATGGTTACCTTTTCTTCTTTCTCTCTCTCTTCCCCTGCAACCCCCCGCCCCAGGTTTCTGACAGATGTGACTATGTTTTTGTCAATGGCAAAGAAATGAAAGGCAAGGTGAACGCGCTTGTGAACTTCACGTATCAGTATCTGAGTGCTCCTCTGCAAATCACAGTCTGGGTTCCACGCCTGCCTCTTCAGATCGACATTTCGGACACAGAACTGAGCCAAATAAAAGGGTGGCGAGTCCCAGTTGTTTCCAACAAAAGGTGGGTTTAAGTTGCTAAATTTCTTGGGTGTTTTTGTAAAATGAATGGAGTTGATTTTAACTCTCAGCAAGAACAGCTGCAGCACCTGCACCCAAAATGCAGCATCTTTCCCTGAGGAACAGCAGTACTGGAATCCTCAGCTTTGCACCGGAAATCTGCAGATATAATAGAGCTTTTAAAATTTGTGGGAGTTTTGCTTCTGTGTGTGTGTCTGTCCTGTGCAACAGAGTACAGTGTGGTGCTCTGGCAAGGTCCCCTTATAGAGTTGTTGTTGTTCGGACATAGCAGCTTAGATGAAAAAGTGGTGTAGTCCATTTGTATGGTGCTTCATCATGCAACGTAGCCATGAATCAGCAGTGGCCCAAAAAACCAGAAGGGAGGGCTATTATTTAAGGGTGTACTCTCCATTAGTACTCTAATGTTAGTTTTCACTAATGTTCTTGAAAATGTTCCTTTATGCTTCATTTTCTTATGAAAAAAGACCCACCAGAGACAGCGATGATGAGGATGAAGATGAGCGGAAAGGAAGAGGATGCACTCTGCAGTACCAGCATGCCATGGTGCGAGTCCTCACGCAATTTGTAGCTGAGGATTCTAGCCCTTGGGGTCAGCTGAGCTACCTGCTGGGTTCAGACTGGCAGTTTGACATTACAGACCTGGTGATGGATTTTATGAAACTGGAGGATCCTCACATTGCCAAGCTGCAGGAAGGCAGGATTTTGATCGGACGGGAAGTAGGAATAACAACGATGCAGGTACTGTGCTCTCGACTGCCACATTCCACCATTCCCATAGAGAACCTGTGTGTGGGCATAAATCCAGTACAGTGTTCTGCTGTCTTGAAACAGGATAATTTCCCATTACATTCCTGTGACCTTCTAGAGTGTCACACACAGCATTAACCCAATGACAGTGATCCAAGCTACAGGTGGTCCGAGGCACACAGTATGGCCAGCAGCTGGAAGCCATAGAGCCTTCAGAGATGTTTAGGAGAGGTAGCACTGCCAGACTCAGTGAGAAGTCGGAGCTCTTGCCCCACATGGATGCAGGTTACCACCAGTCAGCTGATGGGCACCATTTTGACTTTTTGAGACAGAGATCTTTAGATTGTGCCAAGTTTCTTTTGACTTATTAAAACATTAATTCGGGAAAAAAAACATACAACCTGATTAATAACCCTGAAAGGCACAAGTGGCCAACACCATATCCCAGTTCTGCCCCAGCTGAATCCTTACTAAAGCCAATGCGCAAAGAGTGACTATAGCTAATCTAGGCTGTAGATATGAGATGGGGAAGGTGGAGAAGACAGTATGTGCATGAACTAGCTATCTTTAGCTCCCTAAAGATAGCAGTATGGAAGGATATCCTACTACCTTTATGTTCCATCAGAAACAGAAAAGAGAGAAATGAGAATTTCCAAGCAAAGAAGTGAAGGAGGAATCCTAGATGTTGCTAACCTCCCTTTGGAATGGCTGGGAAGTAAATCTGATGAGCTTATCCATACTGGGACACAGAATAGCAGAGGAAGAAAGTTTTAAATCAACTCTTCTAGCGAAATGATGCAAATAACACAATTGAGATAGTATAGCTCTCAGTATTGGGTGCAATGTTCTCAGCCATAACCTCTCTACTGAATGTTTTTCCGACCTGCTAATGAAATCAGACTGCCTTTTCAGTGTGCTCTGCCACTTCATTTCTAAAGCTTTGGAGACAAGAAGCGATGATGACCTTAAGAAAGGTTATTTTAATTGATCAACCTTTTCCTAAGTTGATTCTTTTGTGTTTCTCCAAAGGTTTTGTCTCCTCTGTCTGACTCCATCCTGGCAGAGAAGACAGTGACTGTGCTAGATGACAAAGTTACCATAACAGACCTTGGAGTCCAGCTGGTGGCTGGGCTTTCACTCTTTCTTCAGCCAAGTGCAGCAAGTAGTCGGGCTATTGTGGCTACAACTGTTGCTCAAGAGCTGCTTCATACTCCTAAGCAGGTAGTGTACACTCCCTATTTATTGTTGTTGCCTTTTGGGGTGGGGCAGTGTGTTATCAACATGAAGTACAGATGATAATTCATGACAAGTTTAGAAGTTAGACTTTAAAGTGTAGGTGTAGCACATGTCCATGTCAATTGCTTTCCTCTAGAGGTACTCTGGAATTGTCTTCTCATTTCTTCCCTTCAAATATGAACTTAATCTGCAGTAAATGTTCTGACTACACTGAAGTTTATATTATGTACATTTTTAATACCCTTCCTTTAAATGATGCAACATCTGTTATTTTCACAACACAGGTACTCTTTGGACAGTGATCCTTATTTGCTGTATGAGCATGCCCTTGTTTTCCATGCCAGAGAACACAGAGCTCTGTGTGTCACAACAATTAAATATTTTGAAGAGCTATAAAATAGAGGCAGAAGATAGCCAAATACATTTCTTTTCCCTCCTGGAGTCACGGCAGACTGCCAGGCTCCTCTCTCCTTTTATTTTATAGATGGATTTTGGGGGGTTCGTCATTCAGTTCATTAGGTATCACTGTGCTGATAGTACTTAATTTAAGCCAGCAAATTTCCATCTCTGTAAAGGAAGTCTTTCAAGCAGCATGTTTCAGGTCACAACCCCCATGGAAAAGAAGATTGGAGAATACCACCAGATCGAGGCAAACAGTTGCTCTGGAACAGATGAAAAACAAGGGTCAGTAGCAGTGGAACAAGCTGCGTGTTCATCACTCTTTCAGTCAGTTGATTTGAAGAGTGGGACTGAGGACCATGCAATTAACTCTGTCCACAGTTACTCCTCTCACAGAAACTGTATTTCATCTCACATAGATTGGGAGAGATCTCAAGTCAAGTTTTATGGCCCATTTTCATGATTATTGCTACCTAATTTTCTGGAACATAAAAATAATTTAGATTGTTTTATAACTTAGTGACAGGAAAATGTCCAAACTAGAAGGACATGTTGCCCATCTGTTCCATTTACTGCATCCTGTAAACATAAGAATGTTATGTAATTAACCCATTTATACCCTTCTCTAGGGCTTAGAAACCATGTCTGACATACTGTCTTCAGACAAAAACTGTAAAAGCAAAAGCTAAAGCATGGCTAACCCAATTCTGTTATGTAGGACAGAGCACCATTTGTCCTGCAGCATCATTGGAAGAATCATGGCTTTGCAGATAAAAGAGCTTGTGAATCTGGAAAGGTTGCACAGATATATTGTCAACTTCTCAGATTTATAGATAATCTGTCCTGAGTATGCAAAGATATTTATCAACATCAGGTTATGGCATATTATGACAGGGCATTTCAATAGCGCACAACATGACATCTCATATTGTATTATGGCATGGTGATATGATATGACATGTCATTATATATCACTACAGTTGGCAAGCTGTGAAATAATACAAAAGAGTAAAAATGTGTAAACATGGCTTGTTTTGAAATTATTTTTCCCAGCATCTGTGTTATGGAACAATTTTAGTGAAATATTTTGTTGAAGCTGATGTTCTTTTGCGAGACAATTTCAGTTTCCTCAGAGCGGCACATTTGTGATACAGAAGGGACTGGGCATATCAGGCTCCCATTCTGAGCAACGCCTTCTGCTTCTGGTACTGCTGGGCAGTGTGGGTGCTGCTGTCCCTGCTGTTCTCTTCCTGGGCCTACGGATAGCACTACTGCATCGTGCTCACTGAAGATACCAACTGTAAAACAGGAGGCAAGAGAAAATCAAGCACCTTTTTCTCAGTATAAGTTTAAAATCTGTTGTTTCCTCTCTAGAGTCCATGTGGAAAAAAAACAGGACTTAGACTCTATTAGAAGGCAGTGGAAAACCTCTACACCAGGATCTGGAACGCCCAAGGAAGTCTAGTTGCTTAGTAGCAATCCCAAATTAGTCAGTTTTTCCCACTCCTTCTATGCACGGCACCTTCTGTCCCAGTTTCCCGCAAACATAGAGCAGCATGTTCTTGTGGAATCCCACTTCAGCCTCTGCTTCTCCTTCCAGCTCCTCTGGTCTGGAGCCTGCCCACCCCCATTGCCTCTGCTTGTCTTCCCACCACCTCCTCTTCACCAGGAGAAAGAGAAGTATCCTGCCTGCTTCACAACAGAAGGCTTTACTGGGACCATCACTTCTCACGTATTTGTGAGAGTCAGTTCCTTTTCAAGCACTGTGAGTGTTCGCAGTCCTGATCCTGGTCATGCCAGGCCACTGTGGACCCTGAGCACAGTCCCTAGTTCCTGGGGCGCTTCAGCAGTGCCTTCATCCCGGAGGCCTGAGCTATTTCCACGTGCTGTGCAATTCACTTCCTGTCTTATTGTAAGCCACTCATTTGTCCTCAGGCCTAAGTCTTACTCAGCCTGTAGACAGGGCTTGCCCAAGGAAGGGCTGTTGAAAAGAGACCTTAGGGACTTTGCATTTGCATCACCAAAAAAATAAGACGGGAATAGATTTCACACTAGAAAATACACTGAAGGAAATAGTCTTAGCATAGGAGCGGCCTATCAAGTCACATACATCTTTTCCTTTCATTTGCAGTTTGAATGAAGGATATAACATTTAAGTCACTTGCCCTTAGAAGAATGAATGCAAATGTAGGAATGCTTGTGGCTAAATTTTGCAAGAAGAGACTCATGATTTGGAGTATACCAGCTGAGATCCTTACTGAGCTGGAATTTCAGAAGGCAAGTGCTGAGTGTTTTCTGAAAATCAAGCCCTTTTGGAAGAGGTTTTTTTTCAAGGGGGCAGCCCAGAACTAAGCATATACTTGAACGTTGCAAGGCCTTCATTATTTAATTGTGTCTTTTCCTCTCAAACAAGTTTAGAAAAAGGCCCAAGTAACTCATGCAAACCTTATTGATGCAACTGAAAAACAAAATAACAGTTAAGAGAGCTGAAAGTTTTATTTTTCTTAGGAATGAGTGTGTATGTCTCAGCATTGTTATATGGAAAAAACAGTCAGTGTGTTCTTAGTCAAAAGTTTTCCTTGGCTCCACTTTAGCACCTTCAATAGCCAAGCTTCAACATAGATTAGCAAATGTCCTTGCATAATTGGTACTCTAGCGGGCATGATATTGTCCCTAGCAGATTAAGCAGTACATCTGTATGGTACAATGGAAGGCCTAAAGCATTATACCGATTGTGCTATTACACGTCTTTTGATATCGTAGGAATTAATGTAGTATTTTCGCTGTGATTTTCTTTCAATGAATATAATGACTAGATTAGTTCCTTGATTATAATGACCGCACCATCTCTGCATAAGTAGCACAAAGCAGCCAAAACACAAGTCCTGAAAAGTTGGCAGTTTCTCCAAATACTTAGCACTCTAAAGATGATAAGCTAAAATTTTTTATCTTGGATGCCTTAAGTTGGATATCTTTATCTATAGTTGGGCAACTAATTACCTGAGGTGAGATGAGGTGACCTTGAGGGATGCTAAGCCTATAATTCCTTTTTTTTTTTAAATCAATGAGAAGCTCATTGGCACTGAAAAGTGGATCACTGATTTAGGTGCCTAAAAATAAATGCAGGCTGACCAACTTTTAAATATCAAAGTTGAAATGTCGTCTGAAAATTTGGAAACTGTAGCTGTGAGCAATCTATTTTTAGTGGCCATCTGCTCAGGTAGGAAAGCTGTTCCATTTGGCTTGCTGACCATTGTTAAAATCAACACTGCCATCTTAAAGACCTCTCCAAAATGTAAATAAAAGAAAACCTACAGCGTTTAAGTGTTTTCTGATCTGAGTGAGCTTCAAGGACTCTTACATTTCAGCTCTGCAGAGAAACTCGCAGTCATATCATAGCTGTTTCATCACCGTAGGGTATTGCATGTGGTCTAATGAACTGAAATGGGAGAGCGGATAGAATAAAAGAAAGACAAAAGAAAGCCTTTAATAAATAGCTGTGTGTATTAATATATCTCTCAGTGCTACTGGAAAACTGCAGGCATTTTCTTAGGGAAAAAAGAACAATGTTAGCACTTTCTAAAGGCCAAGTTCTTCTCTTTCACATGTGTAGCTCCTGTTGACATCGGTGACAAGACCCAACTCTGTGAGGTCATCCATAACCTCAGGGAGTGTCCTCCAAGATGTCAGCTCTCGCTCTGATAGGAGGTGAGGGTGCTCGGCACCACCTGAATCAGGGCAACAAGCTGGAGTTGCTTGCACATCCCAGCCTTTTGGATTGACACAATAATGTCCTGGTTTAGCTTATGTCCTTCATGCAAACTAGTTCTGGGAGTTCACTGACATCTCACAGTTAAGTAACAGACATTAGGAGTATTTTTATGGTGTGGATTCATTACCCCATTCTGGCAGTATAAATTACACTTGAATTGTATTTATGTCTTCTTTAAACTGACAGAGCAATGTAGTGGCTCACAAGTATGACAAAGGGATTAAGCAGCATGGGAAAGGGAGAAAGGATGTATTGTTAGATAAGAATCTGAATTCTTCCCTTGCAAATAGAAGCAAATTCCCACTGGAAAGGAATGTCACATTAGCAGATTGGACAAAAAGGAAAGAAAGAAATACACAGTAGGGGAATGCATGGTTTGAATTAAGATCTGAGTCTTGGCTGCCTTTCATTTCCACATCGTAACAATCAAGCCCAGTTTTTACTACACAAGCCACAGGCTTAAAAATAAATGCACATGTAATACTTTGATATTTCATGTGATAAAATTGCTAGGGAAACCCATTTCAGCATTCAAGTCCCCAGACAGAACAATCAGAGCTGGTCTAATAGAAGCTGCTGAGAACAGTATCCCCTTGCCTTTATTTGAGGGAGGGATATATTTGTTTTCTGCAGAGCCATCCAGCCATCCATTTCTTTCCTTTGGTGTCCTGCCTCACTTCAGGACTATTGCAGCTGACCCCAGCAATTGAGGGCTTATTCACAAATACTTTTATTTGTGCTTTAGTGAATGCAGACCATTAAAAGGCCTCTTTATTCTGGGCATGGAATAAAATCAAATATACTGATCAGTCCTCACATCTGTGTTTCTAAGCAGCAGAATTCTCTAAAATGCAACCAGTCCTACACACTTTACTCTCCTATTTTTTGCTCAAAGAATACAAGATAGCATGCCCTGGTATAGAATCATAGAATCAGCTTTTTTGAGGTGGTATTGAAGGACACTTTGTAATCACTGACTGTGGTGCTACAGATGGGCTCAGTGGAACATCCTAAGATAAGCAGACTTTCAAATACTGTATAATGCTTTAGCGGGCAAAATAATCATTGGTGTGGCTCCCAGATTTTCACAGGCAGCTCATGCAAGCCCCACCACGGTAGGACTCATTAGATCTCTGTATGATGGGCTTTCTACTGAGCTTCCAAACCAGCTCTGCTTCCTGCATTCAGGTTGCCTTTTGGAGTGTGAGCCTCCTTGTTTTATCTAGGTGGAAGAGAGTGAGCCAGCAAACAGCAGTGTTTGTGGTGGCTCATATGGCAGGGTTTGAAGTATTCCACGTCAGGCCATACAGAGCTCCTCCAGGACCGTTGGTTTCCATTAGTGCTATGTTACTTCTGTACCCGGGTAATTTCCCCTTTGTTTTACCCACCTAAACATAACAAGTGGATAACAAGGGAGATAAAACTACTACCAAAAAGCAAAATGCAAGTTTATCCAAGAAGATTTATCAAGTGGCATCTTTGGACTGATAAACAGCAATGTAATTCAAGGCCACAAAAGGTGGTGGAACTGCAGCAGATGAAGAACTGGCCAGCTTGCTGATCTGGCATGTAGTTATACCTGGAATGGAGGAAGAGAACAGCAAAGGCACAAGGGAAAATGCGATAATCAACAGTAATTGTGGGAAGCAGTTTCTTTATCTCCTCTGGACTGGATTTTGCTGTCATTGACATGATCTAATGTACATTATCTGACTCACTTCACATCATCACAGTCACCATATAAATCATCCTGTTCTCTAAGAGACACTGGCCCTAATGTGTAGTTGTGGTTCGCTTGGTCTGGGAGCGCAACTGAGCGCGCGTGCATGTGTGTGTGAGTGCGTGCATATGTGAAAGGGAGAGGAAAAGTGGAGGAAAGAAAGACTGGAGAGCCAGGTAATCCCTCAGACTATTTGTTTATGCTTGATAATTAATGAACACAAGCATTTGTCACCTCAGTGTTGAGGGCATCAGACTAGGGGCAGCAACTTTGCAGGTAAGAAAGCTCCAATCCATCTTCATCTGCTGATAGTAATTGGATGACCTTGTCAGAGATTCAGAGGGGATTTATCGATGCAGTACATAGGATTTGCAGAAACAGCTCTTTGAAGGACATGGTACTAAATAATTTCTTTTTTCTTTCTTTTTTTCTTTTTAGCTTTTCAGAATTTATAATCATTTGGGAAATTCACTTCCTTCCCCTGCCTTCAGCTTTCCTTTAACGATGTGAATGAGAGGAGGTGATCTCTTGCCAAATAGAATATTTGGGCTGATACAATATACTTTGGCAGGATTTGAGATTCTGTCCCTCTTTCTCTCATTTGTTTTCTTTCCCTTTTAATTAATGCTGTCCGTAGTATAAGCATGACAATGTTGTGTTGTGAAAAAATTGCTTCTTCCTATGAAAAAAGGGTCTCTTGGAAATAAAAAACACCAATGCTGATTGAAAATAATGGCTAAGCTGTTGCACACCTCTGTTATCATAGTAAGTCACATGTGTGCCTGCAAATTTCAGCTGACTGCCATTTCATTTTTCTCTATCTCTGCTTCATAAAACCAGGAATGCAGAATAGAGACGTAGTGTAAAGAATTAAAGTTGTTTTGAAGTTGCTTACAACTTTGTCAAATTCTAGCCATTTGGGCTGAATTTTTCCATGCTGGCTACATCTTAACCTGAAAGGTGCCTGAGTGCTGTTAAAGCAGAAAGGAGTCAAGATCTTGAAGAAGACGGGAAAGAAGAATATATGGCTCCCCATACGTGTTCCTCTCCAGCCTCTGGATGGAGACCCCCAGATCCCTCAGAGGTGCTGTTCTACCATGAATAAAACCTACTTGCATAGTAAGAGCCCTAATCAGACCTGGGGCTCTGCAACGCTGGGTATGCCGTGTTTGGCTATTAAGGAATTCACAAAGGTTTTAGTAATGTAAATCCTTTTGTAGAGGTGTAGAACTATGGAAGTCCTCAGCGGAGCTGGGAGGAGGCGCAGGCCTTATAACTTCCAGCCTTAACTGCACAAAATTCTGCACTTATTTTCTCATTCTGCTCTCCAAAAGAGAGCACCAGTGGCAGACAATGTCAAGCTTGTTGTGATATATGTTTGAAATGATGCTGGTCGTTTTGCCTTGCGTAGGCTGATGAAAATTCAGTGCATCTTACACACCTCCCCGATGGTACGCGAGGCTGCTGTCTTATTGTAGGGAGAAGGAAGGCAACAGGGTGTTGAATTGCTGGAAGAGATGCATCTTTTTCTCTCTACACATATCCATTTAAAAAAAAAAATCCTTTACTTTCCCACGACTGGGTTTGCTCTACTATAGATTTCTATGATATAAATCTAAGCTGTGCCCTGCAGCTTTATGTTTCTGTCTGTTCAGCCATTTCAGGGTTGTTTCTCTAATGAAAGATCAGCTGTTTTAATTTCCTTACGCAGTTCACCCTTCCCAGCTTCTGAGCTACCCTGGCTCCGTTTCAGCTGTTTGAAGTGCATTTGAATCACCAAGAACTTTGCCTTCTTTCCTGTTGTGCCACAGCTTATTTTTTCTTCTTTCAGTCCCTCAAGAACTTGCTGATAGCACTTTGGAAATCAAATATTCAGTATAGTCCAACCTTCTGCACAGCTAAATGCCCCTCGCTGTTTTCATTGAAAAGCTTTAAATCTAACTAGAAGGGTAGCAATTCCCTTTGTTTATAACCATAGCGTAACAAATTGTAGCCAATTGAAAACCATATTAGGTTGTAAATTTGTATTATGACTGGACGTTAACAGGGTGGCAATGTTTTTCCCTGATGGTGATTTTCAGCCCAGTTGTTCTGATGTACCCAAGTGTAAAGGTATTAGGGCCATCTGCGGTTTAAGTCTGGGAAGAAAAGAACTTCGGGTTTGTGTGAAGTTGCAGTCCAGCAATCTGCCTGCACGTCTGCTGGCTAACCAGGCAAGACGTAGAGCAAATGAAAAAATAAAGAAATCTCCTGCAAAGAAAGCTACTGAGACGTGGAGAAGTAAATATCTGTATCATCTGGATGGGATTTCAAATGGCAAAGAGCTGACCTCTAGCTTTGTGTTTGCTTCTAATGATGACTTCTAACAGTGCTACCTGCAGAGAACAAAGACAGTCCAATTAAACCCAGGCCATTTGTATTTTTGTCCTAGAGATATTAACAGAATCCCCATCTTCCTCTCCTTGACACAGAAATGCAGTGGACTTTTTAATTATCTCAAGGACAAAGTGTTACTTAAAACAAACCTTTCTCCTGCAAAATGGCAATTGTTCCATGAGTCGTCTTTTTTTCAGATGAATCTTCTGCTCCAACCATTTGCAAGATACTGTGGTAGCTCCTTATTCCTGCTAAGATATTTATGCCCTGTTTAATTTGACAGCTCCCTGTGACAGCTGTGCATGGGGAACATGAGGAAAATAAGTGTTCTGTCAAGTGCCTCCAGTAATTTTTCTGGTTTGTCTCTTTCAGATTTTGTATGACAGGAATGACTTTCTTTATAAATCATGTAAATTGTAGCTTGTAAATGGGTATTTCGGTATTACGGACATCTCATATCAATTATTTTATATGTTCTTTTGCAAAACATTTGCAGGAAGGATAACAGTGGAACCCTTAGTGAAAAATGTGACCAATTTTCTGCCCCATCAATTGAAGCTTGGTTTGCTTTAAATGCAGTGCAGAGCCATTGTCTTCCATTTCCTCCAGCTGCGTTCAGAGCTGAGAGATTGATGAGCTGCAATGGGTTGAGCTGTTTTATTTCAGACCCTGTCTTTAACCATATCCCTCTCCTTTCAGGAAGCTGTAGTAAGCACCTGGATTCAGTTCAGTGACAGCTCTGTTACTCCGCTGGACATTTATGACTCTAAGGACTTCTCCCTTTCTGCTGTATCATTAGACGAAGCTGTTGTCTCGATCCACCAGAACGCTGCCTTAAAATGGCCAGTTGTGGCAGCAGAAGGTGAAGGTCAGGGTACGTTAATCAAGGTGGACATGATGATTTCTGAAGCCTGCCAGAAGTCCAAGAGGAAAAGTGTCCTAGCTGTGGGGAACGGCAACATCAAAGTCAAGTTTGGCCAGAATGATGCAGACTCTGATACAGGTGGAGATTACGATGCTGATGAGATTGAAAACCATGCTAGCGACCGGCGGCACAAAGTGTCAGATCAGGAACGGTATGGCCAGGATGGACGGTATTATGGTAGCTCTTCAGCAGAGCGAGAGGAAGGTGCCATCAGGAAAGTCAGCACCACAGCAAAATCCGTAATTAAAAATAAAGTAATTAAAAACAATAGGCTGGATGGTGGCAAACTCCTGGATGACAGCCAGCTGCAGAACATTCCTATAGACTTCACCAACTTCCCTGCTCAAGTAGACCTCCCAAAAGGCAATGCGGGCATGGAGGAAAATGACCTGGTGCAGACACCTAGGGGCCTTAGTGATTTGGAGATCGGGATGTATGCTCTGCTAGGGGTCTTCTGCCTGGCAATTCTAGTCTTCCTAATAAACTGTGCAACGTTTGCACTGAAGTACCGTCACAAGCAGGTTCTGGTGGAAGGACAGGCCACCATGACCCATTCCCATGACTGGGTCTGGCTGGGAAATGAAGCAGAACTGCTGGAGAACACAGTAGATGCATCACCTCAGCAGGATGAGCACACAACTATTATCGACCGAGGCTCAGGTTGTGAGGAGAGCAACCAGCTCCTCAATGGCAGTGCTCAGAAGAACATTCAGAGCCAGGTTCACAGGTGTGCTGACTCAGGGGGCAAGCTAGGAAAGGAACAGAAATCTGAACCTTTACATTCGCCGACATCTAAACGGAAGCGGGTAAAATTCACAACATTCACTACCATCCCACCTGACGATGGTTGTCCTACTGTCAACTCAATCCTAAGTAGCAATGACGATGACATTAAGTGGGTGTGCCAGGATATGGACCTGGGGGACTCCAAAGAGATACGAAACTACATGGAAAAGTTCAAAGACAAAATGTAGCTCCTTGCTGGTTTTTTGGGTTTAACCACACCTTGATGCCTTCAGTTCTACAGTATATATTGGGACAGAAGAGGGGGAGGGGAAGGAATCACCAGGAGAAATGATGAGGCAGTTTTTATAATCAGGGAAAGAATTTTGCCAAACTGTCCATGGTTTGTTTTTGTTTTTCAGTTTGTTTTGTTTTTCCAGTGGTTATTCTGCTACTCATGGATTTAGGAAGTGGAATATAAATAGCAGAAAGGAACAAGGAAATGGTATGACCAGTATGATGAACTGGGCAAGATGAGGTTGTGAAAATTTGGTTCATGGGTCATACAAATAATAATGATAGTAATGTTTCAAAGTACCAAAAATATTTGTAAAAAGAAAAGAGAGAAAATAAGAGCATGAAAAGAATAAGCAAGAGACAAACAATAACTTGTCTGTATTTCTAATAAAACATCACAATTATGGACACATGACCCACAAGGAGACTTTTTAGATTGTTACTCAAGCCATCTCTGTTTATTCCTTCGTTTGAAGTGAAGATGTGTCTTTGGCATTACATATGAAGGAGGAAGAAATTACCTGGTATTTTTACTTTTACTTTTCTGTTTGTTTTGTAAGTTGAAACAGAATAATTTTCCCTCTTGTATTTTTCTTTTAAATATCTTAAAACCAGGAAAATTTTCAGTTCACTAAGTTCACAGTGGTCCAAGAACATTCTGTTTCTAAGTGAGCTATAAATAATCTCCTGTCATTTAAAGAATTCAGGGGATAAGTATTGACTAATAATTTCTATGTGGTGTCTCTTCTGAAGGCCTAAGCCTCCATCGTTTCACCCTAGCTAGAAATACGTTCTGTTTGGAAGAAGTATTCATTTTACTTTCAGGTTTGGATTGTTTATTTAGTTGTTCATTTTAAATTTCCGCAACCAAAGTTCCCATGTTTCATCAAGGGAAGAAGGTGCTGTTTTATGTTAGCATTTACAAGTAACAACTGATGGGAGTGCCCCACTGGTGCATTTTAAATGTACCTGGAACTGAGACCATCACAGGCCAAATATGTACAGCCTGGATTTGGGGTTTTTTTGCCAAGTCCATGAATTCATGATTTTGTTCTGTAATTTTCTGTTTATTCTAATGTCACCAGCTCTCATCAAGCTCTGAAAGCTAGAAGAAGAATGGACAGAAAGACATTGATTGTCCCCAAACTTTTATTTCCTTGTACTGGGAGAGCTGGCGTCTGGACACACTGTTGGAAGGGAGGGAAATATTACTGAAGCAAGATCAAGAAATACCTGGAGCTATTTTATAGATTATTTTTTTTTTGCCATTGGACCAGCTAAGACTGAAAATTTTAGACTAGATTGTAAAGCTGATGTTTTGAATAAAAAAATACAAAACCAGTAATAAATCTGAAGCAAATACAAAATGAAGTCATAGAGTCGTTGTGTAAACTGGCAGAACTGTGTTGACTCAGTGCCAGTTTACACTCGTGGAGGACACAGATCAAAATCTATACAACGAGGAAACCACTGTTATCCAAAACCTTTTGAAACTGAAAGGAAGATGGTATATCCAGCCTTTTGGAAAGCAGTATTAGATCCTGACTGTTAGCCAGAAGCACTTGCATTGTCCTGTCTTTACCCATGTATTTCTTTTTTTTTTTTATTACTAAACTCCGTAGTTTGGTTTTTGTACTTGGACAAAATCAATCCTGCCACCCAGTAACATAGATGGACGTTTTAACAAGATATGCCTAGTATGCATTGTAGACTGAAAGAATGTAATATTTATTTATACATGTTATACGAATTGTAATTAAAATGCTTTACATGGCTTGACAAATTAACCTCTCTTTTCTGAGGGGAGGGGGCTCCTTCTGTCATTTCTGTGTTGAAGTACTGCATCCACTGCCTAACAGCTGAAACAAGATTTAAGCTGCTTTCTGATGAGAGGAGAATAGAGATGTACAAAAGTTTTTCACTGCTCTGACCCTTCTTTTGTGAACCGCTTCCCCTTCCCACCCAACATGTGGTGATGATGATGGATGGCAGGAGAAGACAGCAGTCAGGCACAGTTCATGGCAGTGTCGCTATTCATCTTGTTCATCTTCATGCCTACCATCAGCACGAACAACTCCAGGAGTCTTGCTTCTGATGTGTGCAACTTTTGTGCAGTCCAGTCATAATTAATTATGGTGCTTCTCTGATTGATACAGTAGGTTCAGATGGAAGCAAGTTTCACTGAATCACAACTGACATATACAAAGCACCCTGTATCCCAAAGGACCCCAAGCTACTTTACAAGCTAAGCACAGCGATGCATCAGCCACACCTCAGGGATCAGTATATCTTCCTGGGAAAGCGCAGGTGTCTCTGAGGTGAAAAAGGCATTTACAGCATGGAGCTGCAACATACAACAGCAGAGGAACAAGAAAGATAGTATGGAGTAAAAATAATACATCATAGTAGCACAGAATGTAATTGTTTAAAGTACATTTTTAAGAAGGCTGTTAATGTGCTGAACAGCCCCTGTTACAGCACATATGAAGAATGGCATCTCCAGTAACCCAGTGCTCCCGAGCACTTTCTGGTGTATTGGTACAGCACTGGCAGGAGAGGAAAGGGGTAATTACTAAATCACTGTTTCTAGTCCAGGCACCCTGACTTTGCTCTTTGCTTTTGGCAGCTGAGGCTTTATAAGATCAGAAGAGAAAAGGGTATCTCCATCTAACATAAACAGTTGGCTACCGAGAGGAAACCTTGTGAGGAGAATTCATCTGGCTCTGTATTTTCATGATGACATGTGCGTGTCTGTCTTGGTCTTACTATCTCACCGCATTGTCCAAGAAAAGTATTCCACAGCGAGTGAAAACATTATTCCTAATTCACCTCCTCTCCAAAAGCTCAAGTGCTTTTTTCAAGAAAGGAAAATGTGTCTTCATTGACATTAAGGGAGGGGGGGGGGATGGGGGGTGCCAGTGATCAAAGTTTCCCATGAGAAACTACTTTGCAATTCCTTTTCAAAAACAGTGATGTAAATGTTTGTTGAAAGACACACTCCTGTATTAATGCAGCTCAGATTGGATTCAACCTTCTCAAAGAGGAGCAGAGCTCTTCTGTTATGAATAGGAAAATTATAGTTTATTCATTGTTTCAGCATTCATTGAAATAATCACTATTTTTTGCTTTTTGTTTGTTGACTGCATGTGTAGTTCTCTGTTGTCTGTAGACTCAGACTTAGGCAGTTTGTTTGAAATAACTACCCTTTGGAAAAATTAATTTTAATATACAGTGATGGTCATTGTGGCATTAGCCAATACACACATGCTCCTTGGGAGCAAGATTTCATTGACCATTAGCCATGTGTCGGGTCTCAGTGACAGTATTTTTTCATTGTATTTAAATTAGAAAAAATAATCTCTGTAGAGCCCCTCCAAAGTGGGTGGTTTCAGAGGCTTGCGCATGTAGAGGCCATTGACTGCAGCCTGTAACACTGGGTTGGACACTTGCCATTCACAAATACATACGGTGTTTTACACACGCTGCAGATTACTGTGGACATTTGTAACAGTTCTGACTTACTCTTTATCTTGTCTGTGCCATAATAATCACTTTGCAAACGCTGATAATCACGTACAACTGCCAACACGAGCACATGCATGGCCAAAGGGAGAGGCTTAAGCAGCTTAAGTGCTGCAGGACTCGGGGGCAGTCAGCGCGGCCACTTTCCCAAAGCAAATTAAATGGCAATATAACATCCCTGAAGCACATAAAATGGTTTTCTCTGGTGTTTTTTTACTAATACATGCCTGTTATTGGTGTCTTTTAGTTCCTGAGTTATCAACTAATGGACTTCAGCTAACCTCCACATTGGCAACACGGTGGGGTTTTAAAGCTGTAAGAGGAAGACACCTGACGTACTGCCTATCGTAACATGACATCGTACTATAGCGAAGAAGAAGAGCCACTGCTCCAGGTTCTGTACTATATATGTGACAGTAGTTGAAATGTGGAAAATATGTTCAGACAGGACATGATGCGTTTAACAGCGGGCCCGCATCATGCAAGGCCTGTTGGGTTGGGGGGAGGAGGAGTCAGGAAGCCTCTCCAGTCCCAAGGTCCTGCTTCAAGTATTTTGTTAGTCACAACTACAGCATTTCTGTCTAGATCCACACCTGCTGTAAATCTGTGCGTCTCCATTGAAGCCATCTGGTAGAGCCATGCTAATTGACAGCAGCTAAGAGTCTGGACTTTTGATTTAATATATATGAGAAGTCCCTGACTGTTTAGGAAGAGTTTTAAAGCTGCTTTGCCACATGATAGAGCTGAATTTGTGTGCTTCCCAAGATAAAGGGTTTGTTTTCCCCTGCCATGAAAGTGGAAAGAGAGAAGGCTAGCAGGAGTGCTCTGGAGACTTGGGTGGAATGGGGGCAATGCCTGCCTCTCCGAGCACAGCCTGCTCTCTTCCTCAGCAGCAGG